AGCGACCTAGGCCGCTAAACAACTGAACATCAGTTTGACTGAACCAGTCCAAACTGGTATGAACCCACCACTGGCTCTACTGTACATGAAATTTTGATCATGGTGAGGGTGACCGTGGGGACACTGTGATGATTGTAGGTGCAAGAACTGCTCGTAAGTCACTTTTTTTCTCGGCACCGTCATAACTTCAAATGCTTGTTAAATTAATGATCACAAGTCAAGGACTGTCTCTTTGGAACAATGAAGGCTGATTGACTTGCCTGAAAATTAACTGCAATTACGAGAGAAGAGGAGGCAGTGACTGCAAATGACTGGTAGTCAGAAGGCGCTTCTCCGTCCTGTCCCATGGTTTGTAGGTAAGCACCATACGGTATGAAGAAAATGATCAGGGATGTTATAACGCCATGCAGGAGGCTTAAGAAGAACTTCTTGTAGTTAAAAAGCAAGTCTTTTTGTCCCAAGATGTACAGCCTAGGAAACCGTATGCTCAGTTTATCACTCACATCCTGCATTGAAAGAAGTAAGACAAATGACAATCCAGTTGTGGTTTGGCTTGAAAATCGTTCATCACGTTACGCATCCCCACAGAAGATGTGCCACATCAAACAGAAAACAGAAAAATAGCCACCCTTTTAACTAATGCATCAGTGGGCAAAAATATGTTGGCAATGCAAATTATCTGCAGAAAATTTAAAAAGAAGCTAGATTCACCTTTCTGTTGTTTGAGAAGTTACACATTAACTTCCTGATAAGACTTCCTGAATCTTTTCACCTACCCATCTTATATATATATAAAAATAGAGAACTCAACTTCCACCTTGCAATGTTCATGCACAGGCCTTCTCCCTTTGGATATCCAAATCAACACAAAAGTGTTCAGAGAGGACCAGTGACATGCTCAATGCTTGGGATGGGTCCACTCACATTCTGAGTCATCACAAAAGCTCATAACGCATAAAGGTATGTCTAATCTAGTGAAAAGAAGGACCGGGAGTGACATGATAGCAGCGTTTCAATATCTGAGGAGCTGCCACAAAAAAACAATGGATGGAAACTAATGAAGGAGAGAAGCAACCTAGAACTAAGGAGACATTTACTGGCAGTAAGAACAATTAATGGAACAACTTGTCTCCAGAAGTTGTGCGTGCTCCATCACTGGAGGTTTTTAAGAAGAGATTGGACAACCATTGGTCCAGAATGGTACAGGGTCTTCTACTTGTGCAGGAGGTTGAACTAGAAGACCTCCAAAGTCCCTTCCAACTCTATTATTCTGATAAGCAAGTCGGTCGCTAAATGAAGACTTCCTGTACTCTCAAACTGAACCAATACAAGAAAACTGTTAATTCCCATAGTATATTTGGTGAGTAATAAGCTTATGTTTTACTCTGCCCTTTTTACTGAATTAGCATCAGCAATTGCTAGATTTCCCACGAAGCATTCTAATGATACTTCATAGGCAAATGACAGCTTCAAAGGTGTGGCATTACCATAATAAAGAAAGTAGCCACATGATGGCACTGTTTGTCCAATATTAATGCAATATAGTTCCAAACTCAGGGAAATGGTTTTGCAACGGCAAGGATAATCCTGACATAGTGGCTGTAATGCACTAAACCAAAACTAAAATAAACCATATCATGACTTATTGTACTCTGTGAATTTAGTCAACAAAAATGTCAGAAATTTGCATCGCACACAGAAGCAACGGTCAACTTTTAAGGATAAGTTTTTAGTTGATTATTTGGACGAACCTGGTCAAGTAATCCAACAAGTAGAACTGGCAGACTGGAATATAATACATTGTATAGCGTGATAAACCAATCCTCGTACGCTGTCTGTAATTACAAAGAAAATATATTACACCTTTAAAAATATTTGCTTAAATTGTATTTAAATAAAATTAAATCAATCCATATCAGGGGGGGGAAAAGCCTTTGACAACAAGCAACAATCGAATAAAACAACAAATTTAAAACAATGTAAAAAATCCACGTTGAAAAGTAAATGTTACCAATACGGATATACAAGATGGGAACCCAGAATGAGATGGAGCCAATCAAGTGGCTTGTCTGATTAATTGTTGTCACCTGAGTCGGTAAATTTTCTTAAATAAATAACAATGGCCAGCTCAACAATGAGGCATCTAAGCATGTCTTCTCTGGAAGCCCCAGGCCTGATGACATAACCAGATGTTGAGGGACTTCTGGAATATCAAAACGGGTGGAGCTAATTTCAGGGGGAGGAATGTTCCATAAGAAGGAAGGCAGTGGTGGGATTCAAAAATTTTCACTACTGGTTCGGTGGGTGTGGGTAGGTAGGGGGCATGTGACTGAGTGGGCCAATGACATCACTCATGCCCACATCCACTCAGTCACATCCCCAATCCCCCACAAAGGCACATCCACAGGAAAAGGTAGGAAAATTTATAGGATTTTTCCCTATTTACCTCCGCCCTCCCTTTGCTAGTCATTCCCGGTTCCCTGCTTCCTCCCCCATCACCGCCTCTTTGTTTGCCTACCTTCCGCGGCAGCTGGTCCAGTTCGGAAGGCAAGCTGACCAAAGTTTTCGGCGCCCCCCAGCCAGCCGCTGCTGCTGGGAAGCGACTGGCAGGCAAAGAAGCCTCCCAGCTGCCACCTCTTTGCATACTGGCTATCAAATGGCCCACGGGTGGCTGCAGGCCACTGAAAAGTCCTCCAAGTAGCTGCCGTCGCTGCCATCTTCTTTGTACATGTGCATAGCAATAGCAATAGCAGTTAGACTTATACCGCTTCATAGGGCTTTCAGCCCTCTCTAAGCGGTTTACAGAGTCAGCATATTGCCCCCAACAATAATCCGGGTTCTCATTTTATCCACCTCGGAAGGATGGAAGGCTGAGTCAACCCTGAGCCGGTGAGATTTGAACAGCCGAACTGCAGAACTGCAGTCAGCTGAAGTAGCCTGCAGTGCTGCATTTAACCACTGTGCCACCTCGGCTTATTCAATGGTTCTGCGGCCAGCCACCTGCATCTTTGAGAGCCGGTATGCAAAGAGGGCGTGAAAGCCAGCGGGCGGGTGGGGTGAGCAACCGCCGAGAGGGGGACTGGTTTGGGGGCGTGACCAACCGGCCATCGCTACCGGTTCGCCAAACTGGGCAAAATTTCTGCCACTGGTTTGGGCGAACCGGTTGAATATCACCTCTGGAGGAAGGGATGAGAGTGCTAAATTATCAAGTCAAATGTTACGGCAGCTAGACCTTCAAGGACCAGTCATAAGTACCCTTTGTTCAGCCCTATCCTAACTTTGAATAGTCGCCGAACCAGTGATTGTTAAGCAAAGACTAGTTAGTCTTCTTGAATACCTATCCTAAAGCATTCCAATCCTTTTTCATCGCACAAATCAACAGAAATATATAAATTCATAAAAATAGTAAATATTGATTGCTGCAAGGTTTCACAAGTCTTCTTGATCCTTTACCTGAGCAGAATAGCCATTGAAGAAGGAGTACCAGAAATGCACTAAGGTAAAAGCAAAGTTTTTGTAGAAGAAATACCGAAGGAATTTGCACATTCTAATGTAAGACCATCGACCGTGAACCAGCAACAGCCTCTGGAGATATCTGAACTGGCCGAAAGAGTAGTCACTGGACATGACAGCTTGCATCCCTTCTTGACCACTTATCCCAACACCAATGTGGGCAGCTAGAATAAAAGTAAAACAAAAATACACACCCTTCAGCTAGCTCATTTATTGCAATCAGTTATTGGGTAATTCATTTTTGAAAAATAAATAATAAATAAATGTTTCAAGAAATGTTATGGAAAAAGCCATGTTAAATGTGCCCTTTGTCAAGACAAAGTTGAGAATGTTCTTATACCCACAGTAGGCTAATTATAGTGTTACCCCCAACAATTTCACAGATTGTGTTGTATTTCCCAGCCTCGGAACAAGGAACTGTTAGCTGCTGAATTCCTGCCCTGAGAAACTGAAAGTGCCAGTAAAATTCCTACAGGAAGGTATTGAGTTAGATCTGATGTGCAAGTCCTCCTCACCTGATACTCGGAGGCTTTGCTTAAGGGTAATCTGTTTCTGTCTTTCCTGTCTTTATCAGTCTTGACTAGACCTTGACAGTCAGGTCAGAGGTGAAAACTCAAAAGGTGAAAACTCAAAAGAATACTGAAAAGTTTGTCTGGGCTTTGTTGCATAATCTTGTGCAGCACAGGAGCATAATTGAGGGCCTCCAGAAGGTTCAATGAATAAGGCAAAATAAGCAAAAAATTTTAGCAAGGGGTTCTCTGCTCGTTGCTGGGTTGCCATGGTGGGCGTGGCCTAGTCAGCCTCGTGCACCCTAGGGGGGATTTTTGCCCTCCCCAGGCTCTGGAGGCTGGAAATGGACCCGTTTCGCGCCTTCCCAAACTTCCAGTAGGTCTGTTTTTCGCCCTCCCTGAGCCTCTGCACCAGGGGTGGATTTCTCGCCCCGTTCCAACCGGTTCGGTTGGAACGAGGCTGGCGGCGTCCTCGCGCATGTGCGTGGTGCGCGTGTGCACACGCGCGCCACACGCATGCGTACTAGTGTCTGTGCGATGCTCCAGCTGCTCCTGGAGGATCGCGCAGGCGCTGTATGCGTCCTGCGCATG